GTGAAACGGCCAACAAGGCGTGGCATCACGCCTTCCACGCCTTGTTGGCCAGGCCAGGTTCATCGAACGTGAACCTGGCCCATGCCAGCGCACACGTACTTCGCATCACAGCGGCCCAATCAGGGTTGCATGCGATCGTGGGCACGTCGTGGTTCATCCACGACGTGCCCATCAACAGCAAGATTCCCTGCCACTGAGGCAAAGAGCTGCCCAGCTCAGCTCCTCTGCGGGGAATCTTGACTGTTGCCACAATTTCCCCGCAGAGGAGGCCGGGCCGCGAATCTGAAGGGGTCTCGGGCGAGGGCTTCATACAGCCCTCATTCACAACTTTTGATGCAGTTTTCTTCTGACGTTTGGCCTGCCGTGGCCATGGCGGGCCTTCCAGGCACTCATTTCTTGTTCCGCCGCCAACCTGCTGCTCGAGAAAATACTCGCAGAGACACCCGTGACTACTCTCAATGGCAGACACGTCCTGCGCCCGTCCCTCAATCAGAACCAGTACCGGTAGTGCCTCCCGTTCCTCCCACTCCTCCTACGCCTCCTGCCCCTCCCACTCCCCCGGCGCCTCCTATTCCTCCCGTTCCTCCGTCCCCTCCTGACCCGCCTGCTGTTGGTGTTCCGCGACAGGGGGTTCTGCAGCTTCTCCTCCCCCCTGGATACTCGGCGTTCGACGCCTTCCTGTCCGAACCTGAACGCAGCGGCGGCGAAGGATCTTCCTCCGCACCGGAGCCACGATGGGGAGCGCCGGCTGATTGCCCGTTGGACGAATCCGCTACCGGAGAGGACGACGACGTGGAGTTCTGGGCTGCTAACGGTCTCCCCGAGCACCTTCCAATTCCCTCCTTTCCCCCTCTGAATAAAAAAAGGCCCCACCCATCTCGCGATAATCGTGATGCCCGTCCTCCCTCCCCCAGGCACAAGCCGACAAAGCACAAGCGCAATTCGTACACCTCGCAGGAGAAGCTGCAATGAATTTTGAAGCTCGAAGCCGGAGAGATGAGTGTGCGGCGCATGTCTCGCGAATCCGGCATCTCCCGAAGGTGCCTCACGGAGTGGAAGAACCGCAAGGCTGAGCTGGAGGGCGCGCACGGTGCACGATGTCGCCTGCACGGCCGCGGTAGGAGCTCGTGGTATCACGACATGGAAGCGGAGGTGTACCGGAGGTTTCTCGCCCACCGCAAGAAGTGCCTCGCCGTCTCGATCGCACGACTGCAGAAGTGGTCGCACGAGGTGATGAAAGAGTTACACCCAGGTGAAAAGTGGGCCGGCTCTCAGTGGTGGACTCAGCGCTTTCGCCGCCGCTGGAACCTGACGACCAGAGCGAAGACCCGGGTCGGCCAGAAGCTCTCGGCCAGTGAGTTGTTATTTGGTGGTATTGTTGTTTGTCTGTTCCCGTCTATACACGACTCTCACTCTGTGTTTGTGCTTTCTGTTCCTCCCATCCCGTGTCTCAGACTGCGAGACTGAGGTCAAGAACTTCTGGGCGTTCGTGCGTCACTCCCGCCGCCAGTACAAGATCGACCTGCCGTGGATTCTAAACGCGGACCAGACGCCCCTCTGGCTCGAGATGCCATCCGAACGCACCGTTGAAGAGGTTGGCTCGCGCTCCGTGCCCGTCCGCAGCGGCGGCTACCAGAAAGAGCGGGTTACAGTGATGCTCGCCTGCACCGCCAGCGGGGAGAAATTGAAGCCGTGGGTCTTCTTCAAACGGAAGACCGTCCCCAAAGGAGATTTCCCTTCAGGTATGCTACACACGTCGATTACGCGGTGGCATGTTGATGTCAGCTAAAGATTTAACTAACATCGTGGTTTTGATGTTGTGCAGATGTCCACGTGGGGGTCCATCCCAACGGTTGGATGGACGCGGACGGTGTCATCGCGTGGCTGGACGGGGCGGTGAAGCCGTACATCAACCCCAAGTTCGGAGTCCGCCCCCGCAAAGCTCTGCTCGTCCTCGATTCGTACCGCGGGCACCTGACCCCGGAGGTGAAGAAGAAGTTTGGCGAGCTGAACCCGGTCCCTGCGGTTATCCCTGCTGGCTGCACCGGCGAAATTCAACCCCTCGACGTCGCGGTTAACCGCTCATTCAAGGCCGCCGTTCGCCAGCTCTACCAGGAGTGGTTTGAGCGTGAGGGGGTCGACACATTGACGAAGAAAGGTGAGAGGTGCAGCCTTTCTGTTTATGTGTTTATTATCTTAACCCGTGCTGACCCTAGTTTATGTATTTGCGTGGCAGGCAACATCAAGAAGCCTCCTGTCGAGCTGACGCTGAAGTGGATCTCGTCGGCCTCGAAGTCCGTGCCCAAGGAGCTCATTCAACGGGCGTTCCTCACCTGCGGCATCAGCAACGCCCTGGATGGGTCCCAGGACAAGCTCTGCCTGCAACACAGGCGAGACGAGCTCGAGGGCGAGGAGGTCGACGTGGATGATGAAATTGCAGCAGACGGTTTCTTCTGCAACAACGTAGAGGAACCTGAGTCGGACTCTGAGGCCGACCCAGATGACCCCACTGCAGCTGATGATAGAGTAGGGTAGATGTGTAGAAAATGGTGAAGCCTGTGTGAGGCTCGTAGGCAGGAGTAGATTAACTAGTTGTAGATTAGTTTATGTCATGTTTTAGTGGAGTAACTGTGTAAAAGGTCTTAAAATGAAAAAAAACAAAAAAAAAAAAACGGGTGGCGGTTATAAAATGTAAGGCAGAGGTATGCGGTTATAATCCGTAAGCCTTTTAGGTATGCGCTTATAATCGAGCACCGGATATAAGCGCCACACGCCAATTAAAAGCGACAGGCGCTTATCCGCGGGTGGCGCTTATATCCGGGGTATGACGGTACGTTCAAAGCTACATGTGTTATTAGCATTATGGAAGTATAGTTAGGAAAGGAGGGCATCTCAATTCCAACACGATATCACACGTTTGAAGGCCGAAAACAATTGGTGCATACCTTTGATATTAATAAGCTGAAAACGCAGCTCCAGCAGGCCAGGAACATCTACTGTACATAATATTGACCTCTAATTCATTTACATGGCATTCGCTATATAAAACTGTGTGGCGAAGTTTGCCCACGCAGCCTTTTTGGTATCAAAGTTTCCACACTTTTTAGGTTGGCGGGAAAGCTTCCCTCTGCTTTACGTTCCCCTCAATTCAACGTCATCAATCGGTTCGCAACTTTCCCGTTCGCGATTCACTGATTGGCTACTGGCCCAAGCTCGTGGTCCGGGAGATTATTGCTTCGGCAGCTCCCTCGCACCGATATCTTCGCCGATACGCGACAACATCCAGACCAGACTCTCATTTCGTACACTGTTCTTGGTGCATGTCGTACTAGCCGTCCAGACATGGCTTCTCTGGCTCGGACGAGCATAACCTGTCCCGAACCAAACCAGTGATAGTCACGGTGTTCCGGACCAGCTGTCACCTCAACTCCGTCCCGTGCCTCAGCTCCTCGCAAATGTCGACTCGAATCGCACCGCACGTCAAATTTCTTCACAACGAAATTCGCGCGCTTCCGTGATTCCCAATTTCACATCCCTCTCCGCCCCACGTCATATGCTGCTCTCTCCCAATTTCCATCGCTTGCACGTAAGATCGATCTGCTCATTGATGCTGTTTCAACCCAATTTTCCGCCCCTTCTACACCACATTACCGTTGCTTGTTGGTTGACTTGGCCTGGTCATGTTTCATGATGGTGCTCCTCATTCATGGATAAATCACTCCCATCGCAATTCCACCATCCCACTGCAACAAGTGCAGCTGGTCCCAATGCAACCCCACCCAGCCCCCACCACATAACATCCGTGCACCTCACCACCATGCCACCGACTAATAACCATTCGCCAATGGCCACCAGTTGACGGTTCGCGTCTCGTCCCGCCCGCTCGTTTGCTGCTTACTCTCCCGCGAATTTTACAATTTGCAGCCAAAACCTTGAGCTAAAACCAAAGATGATACATCCATTGGGGACACCGACAGGTTGATAGCGTATCGCCGACCCATCTTTATCATATTTGCGCTTTCCCAGCAGCTGCAGAAGCAGCTACAGTCCAGTCGACCGTTGATTTAAAGTGCAGCACTTCCCATCAAACCCTAGCTTCTCGTCTGCTGATCAAAACTAGGGACTTGCACTTCTCTAGGGACCATCACCCCAAAGATCTTGCGACTTCGTTGCTCTACTCTGAGCGTTCCCGTTCAGAGCGTCGCTGCGAAACCATCCGACGTCTGTCCTCTTATCCGAGCGTCCTTTCATACACCTCACGGAAAGACGCCAGGCCTCTCACACACCTCACTATCGCAAGTCCCTCACTTCTCGCCATCTGCTCAAACTGCTAGCAGACCCCGTCAGTCGCGCTATAGAAACGGCTCTCACGCTGCACGCTAGTCGACGGCGCATCGTAGTTCACGGCTTGAACGCTGGCACTGGAGTTTAGAACGTGTCAGTTGAGAACCTTCACGTGCTCCGCAATTTTCACTGCTCTAGCGTATGTATATAGTCGGCTCAATTGTACGTAGCAGCCCTGACACAGAAACCCCGAAAACACAGAATTGAATACATTAATCACGCGCTCTGGTCTTAGTGCTCTCCTTCCGTGGTGCCACGAGCTTGCGAACAAACTTCACTTCGGTCCAGTGTAGAGTTGTAAGAAGGTGTCGACTTGTAAAACGAAGACACATTCTTGCTCTTCTGAGGAACTCAGCTCCTTTTCGGAGGAAGGTCGAGACAGGGTGATGGGTCGCACGATCGCCTGCTCTCGCACAGCGACGTGGGCTACCGGCGTGCGACGGAACGTGTCGCCTAGCGATCCTGCGAAATGGCCGGCGACGATGGGGTTGAGATGGCTGGCCGTCGTCTGCTTGGTGGCATTCGTCGCAGGAGGACTCCTGACGTCGCAGGCCGGAGGTACGGGATTGGGGACTGAGACAGAAACGGGTAAAAGTTCCTACTATCATTTACTACTGGCAGTTGTGCAAAGAAGACTGATTATTTCATCCACTACTATGCGCCAGTTAAATCACGCAACAGACGTAGCATACTCACTGCCGCCCCTTCCCCTCCAACCCTTCCAGCTGTGCGCTCCAAAGCCGCGGCGCCTGTGCGCAAGGGTGCATAGTGCACCTGGCGACCGTTCCGCTCACTCCGCTGCAACCCCGCTCCCCCTCCCTCACTCCCATATTTCACACCTCCCTCTCTACAGCTACGCGCGCGAAAGCCGCGGCGCCCCTGCGCAAGCAGTACATAGTGCACCTGGCGGCAGTGCCGCCGGTGCTCAACTACCGCGGCGGCGTGGCGGGGCTGGCGGCGACCGCGCCGGAGCTAGACGACAACGACCCCGAGAGCAGCCCCACTGACGCCGATGACGACGATAGCGCTCCGGTTGATAGTCCAGGTGGCGGTTCGGGTGGCGGTTCAAATGGCGGTTCGGGTGGCGTTTCGGGCGGCGGTTCGGGTGACTCGGGTGGAAATTCAGGTGAAAGTCCAGGGGGAGGTGCAGGAACGGGAGCAGGAGGAGGAGGAGCGGATTCAACGGAGGGTCCTTTGCCAAATGATGCTACAGCTGGCGGTGCTACATCCGGTGACGGTACAACCGACGACTCTACAGCCGGAGACAGCAGCGCTACAAATATCACGCTGGCAGCAGCGACGCTTCAAGGGCTCAGTGCGGCCCGACTCGCCACCGTTAGTAGCACATCCGCTGTGCCCCCTCGCTTCGGTACAATCACGAAATCGACTTTTGAGGCTCCTCGGAAAGCGATACGACGGCTTGCGGATCGGATTAAGCGGCGCGCGGACGTGCGGCGGGCGAACGTGAAATCTTTCGTCAACTTCCTGCGAGATTCGCAGCGGCAGTTTTTGCGAAAGAATAACATTTCGCCGTCGCAGCTGTTCCAGAGCTACACGTACACGGTAAACGGGTTCGCTGTATCGCTGACGGACGTGGAAGCGAAACGGCTGAAGCAGCATCCTGCCGTGGCGTGGATCGAAGAAGACAAACCGGTGAGCGAGGGAAAAGACTAAGTGAAAGTAGAGAGAACAGTGTATAAAGCGTTAGGAGGAGAGGAGTAAAGAAGGGGGGAAAGTGGGGAAGAACGAGAGAGAGCGGGGAAAGGGGGGGAGAAGGGGAGGAGAGCTGGCCGAGACAGAGGGGGAAGAGGGAAAAGGTGTAGTAAAAAAAAGGGGGTAAAGGAGATGGGAGAGGAGGGGGGCTGGGAAAAGGACACAAAACTGGAGAGCAATAAATATTATAGAAGCTTACACCGCTTGTTGCGGCCAAATGTTATCTCCTTAGCTGCCAATTGATTTGCTTTCCACTCTTCTGTCGTGCCTCCACATGCTTATCTTCGCTTCCTGAAATTCGTGTTTTTCGTTTGGGGCAGGTTCGCGCGCTCACCGTGGACTCGCCGACTTTCTTGAAGTTGCCGACCAGCCTGTGGGCTGAAAACGGGGGGCAGAGCCGCGCGGGCGAGGATGTGATTATAGGCGTGATAGATTCGGGAATCTGGCCGGAACACCCTTCTTTCACAAATACGGTAAGCAGTGTAACTATTGAGATGAGAGCAATTATTTCTTGCAATAACATCCTGAACATTTGCAGCATCTTCTTCTTGTCTCTCTCCCACTCCCCTCTACTACCACCACCTTCCCTCCTACCTCTCTGTCACCCACACCACCCCCCTTTCGTGCATCTCCTCCCCCCGTTTTTCTTCCCCCCTTGCATAATTTCCCCCTTCCACTATTTTCCAGCCTGCGGACCCTTACGGCCCGGTTCCGGCCCGCTGGTTCGGCGGGTGTGCAGAAACGGCGGATTTCCCAGCCTCGCTCTGCAACGGCAAAATCATTGGCGCAAAATATTTCAACAGTGGGTTCCGCAAGTCCGGGCAGAGCGTGGATCCAATCAGCGACTTTTCGTCTGCCCGGGATGGCGATGGGCACGGCACGTGGTGTTCGGGGTGAGTGAGAGTGTTTTGAATCACTTTGGGATTTTGAAATGCCCGATAACATGTGGTGTTTGGGATGAGTGGTGTTCGGGATAATAGTGTCCTTTACCCCATGTCCTCTCACTCACTCCCCTTTCACTCCACCCCCTTCTCTCACTCCCCTTTTACCCCATCTCCTCTCACTTTCCTGTTTGTTACGCGTGCGTTAGTGTGGAGATATGAACGGCCCTCTTCCCTCCCCCTCCCACCTGTATACTACTGTCGTTTTCTTTCCTACTCCTATCGAGCGGCAGGGGGCAATGCGAACGTCAGTGTGGAGATGGATGGCCGCAGCTTCTCTCCCTGCCCTTCACCCTACCTTCTCATCCCTCTCCACCCTTCCAAACCCACCAGAGCCGCAGCAGGCAACGCGAACGTTAGCGTGGAGATGGGCAGCCGCAGCTTCTTTCCTTGCCCTTCACCCTACCTTCTCATCCCTCTCCACCCCTCCAAACCCATCAGAGCAGCAGCAGGCAACGGGAACGTTAGCGTGGAGATGGGCGGCCGCAATTACGGCTCCTCGAGCGGCGTGGCACCACGCGCGCGTGCCGCCGTCTTACTCCCATCTTCAATCCTTTTTGAGGCGCCTCAAAAAGTGTCGCCGTCTTACTCCCATCGTCAATCCTTCCAACCCCACCTTTTCACTCTATACAGAGCGGCAGGGGGCAATGCGAACGTGAGTGTGGTGATGGGCGGCCGCAATTATGGCTCCGCGAGCGGCGTGGCTCCTCGGGCGCGCGTGGCCATGTACAAGGCGCTCTGGGTGGTGAAGGGCGGCGGCGCTTCAGGCACCAACGCGGACATCCGAGCTGCTGTTGACACCGCTGTTGCTGACGGCGTGGACGTGCTCTCTCTTTCACTGGGCGGATCCGTGCCGCAGTACTTCTCCGATATACCTTACATGAATGCAGCCAAGGTGAGCCACAAGCCCTTGGTTCCTTGGGCCTCTAGGTCTTTCGGGTCTCTCGGGTGTGTTTCGAGTGTCGCCATGTACAAGGCGCTCTGGGTGGTGAAGGGCGGCGTCTAGTTTTGAGGCGCCTCAAAACTATACAAGGCGCTCTGGGTGGTGAAGGGCGGGGGCGCGTCGGGTACAAACGCGGACATCCGCGCTGCTGTTGACACCGCCGTGGCAGATGGAGTGGACGTGCTCTCGCTCTCCCTGGGCGGATCAGTGCCCCAATACTTCTCCGACATTCCCTACATGAATGCAGCTAAGGTGAGCGCGAGAGAAAGAGCTGACGTTGACACCGCCGTGGCGGATGGCATGGACATGCTCTCGCTTTCTCTGGGGGGGTCTGTTCCCCATCCTGCCCCCATCTCCTTCCCACCCCAACCCACCCCACCCCATCCCACCCCTCTCCACCCCCTTCCCCTCAAATTTCCAAAATACTTGCAGGCGGGGCTGTTTGTGGCGTTGGCAGCAGGCAACTCGGGGCCGCCCTCTCCCATGCGCAATCCGCTTCTTACCCCTTCCCACCCCTTCCCACCCCACCCCACCCCACCCCACTCCACTCCTGGCAATGTGGGCAGGCGGGGGTGTTTGTGGCATTGGCAGCAGGCAACTCGGGGCCGCCCTCCCCCATGCGCGTCCTGGGGACGCTCAGCAACGCAGCTCCGTGGTACCTGACAGTGGGAGCAACGTAAGTTGAGAGAGAACACTCAGTGACAAGGTGTGTTGCGGTGTGCTGAGGTGTGCTGCGGTGTGCTCTCCCATGCGCGTACTGGGGACGCTCAGCAACGCAGCTCCGTGGTACCTGACAGTGGGAGCAACGTAAGTTGAGAGAGAACACTCAGTGACAAGGTGTGTTGCGGTGTGCTGAGGTGTGCTGCGGTGTGCTCTCCCATGCGCGTGCTGGGCACGCTCAGCAACGCAGCTCTGTGGTACCTGACAGTGGGAGCAACGTAAGTCTTGCTTTTCCATTCAGGTGTGCTGTGAAAGAGATAGGTGCGCTGAAGGCAACACCCTCAGGGCGGTGGAAGACGAGAGATAGGTGCGCTGAAAGTAACAATACCCTGCATTGTGGGAAGTCTTGCTTTCCATTGAGGTGTGCTGTGAAAGAGATAGGTGCGCTGAAGGCAACACCCTCAGGGCGGTGGAAGACGAGAGATAGGTGCGCTGAAAGTAACAATACCCTGCATTGTGGGAAGTCTTGCTTTCCATTGAGGTGTGCTGTGAAAGAGATAGGTGCGCTGAAGGCAACACCCTCAGGGCGGTGGAAGACGAGAGATAGGTGCGCTGAAAGTAACAATACCCTGCATTGTGGGAAGTCTTGCTTTTCCATTGAGGTGTGCTGTGAAAGAGATAGGTGCGCTGAAGGCAACACCCTCAGGGCGGTGGAAGACGAGAGATAGGTGCGCTGAAGGCAACACCCTCAGGGCGGTGGAAGACGAGAGATAGGTGCGCTGAAGGCAACACCCTCAGGGCGGTGGAAGACGAGAGATAGGTGCGCTGAAAGTAACAATACCCTGCATTGTGGGAAGTCTTGCTTTTCCATTGAGGTGTGCTGTGAAAGAGATAGGTGCGCTGAAGGCAACACCCTCAGGGCGGTGGAAGACGAGAGATAGGTGCGCTGAAAGTAACAATACCCTGCATTGTGGGAAGTCTTGCTTTCCATTGAGGTGTGCTGTGAAAGAGATAGGTGCGCTGAAGGCAACACCCTCAGGGCGGTGGAAGACGAGAGATAGGTGCGCTGAAAGTAACAATACCCTGCATTGTGGGAAGTCTTGCTTTCCATTGAGGTGTGCTGTGAAAGAGATAGGTGCGCTGAAGGCAACACCCTCAGGGCGGTGGAAGACGAGAGATAGGTGCGCTGAAAGTAACAATACCCTGCATTGTGGGAAGTCTTGCTTTTCCATTGAGGTGTGCTGTGAAAGAGATAGGTGCGCTGAAGGCAACACCCTCAGGGCGGTGGAAGACGAGAGATAGGTGCGCTGAAGGCAACACCCTCAGGGCGGTGGAAGACGAGAGATAGGTGCGCTGAAGGCAACACCCTCAGGGCGGTGGAAGACGAGAGATAGGTGCGCTGAAAGTAACAATACCCTGCATTGTGGGAAGTCTTGCTTTTCCATTGAGGTGTGCTGTGAAAGAGATAGGTGCGCTGAAGGCAACACCCTCAGGGCGGTGGAAGACGAGAGATAGGTGCGCTGAAAGTAACAATACCCTGCATTGTGGGAAGTCTTGCTTTCCATTGAGGTGTGCTGTGAAAGAGATAGGTGCGCTGAAGGCAACACCCTCAGGGCGGTGGAAGACGAGAGATAGGTGCGCTGAAAGTAACAATACCCTGCATTGTGGGAAGTCTTGCTTTCCATTGAGGTGTGCTGTGAAAGAGATAGGTGCGCTGAAGGCAACACCCTCAGGGCGGTGGAAGACGAGAGATAGGTGCGCTGAAAGTAACAATACCCTGCATTGTGGGAAGTCTTGCTTTTCCATTGAGGTGTGCTGTGAAAGAGATAGGTGCGCTGAAGGCAACACCCTCAGGGCGGTGGAAGACGAGAGATAGGTGCGCTGAAGGCAACACCCTCAGGGCGGTGGAAGACGAGAGATAGGTGCGCTGAAGGCAACACCCTCAGGGCGGTGGAAGACGAGAGATAGGTGCGCTGAAAGTAACAATACCCTGCATTGTGGGAAGTCTTGCTTTTCCATTGAGGTGTGCTGTGAAAGAGATAGGTGCGCTGAAGGCAACACCCTCAGGGCGGTGGAAGACGAGAGATAGGTGCGCTGAAAGTAACAATACCCTGCATTGTGGGAAGTCTTGCTTTCCATTGAGGTGTGCTGTGAAAGAGATAGGTGCGCTGAAGGCAACACCCTCAGGGCGGTGGAAGACGAGAGATAGGTGCGCTGAAAGTAACAATACCCTGCATTGTGGGAAGTCTTGCTTTTCCATTGAGGTGTGCTGTGAAAGAGATAGGTGCGCTGAAGGCAACACCCTCAGGGCGGTGGAAGACGAGAGATAGGTGCGCTGAAGGCAACACCCTCAGGGCGGTGGAAGACGAGAGATAGGTGCGCTGAAGGCAACACCCTCAGGGCGGTGGAAGACGAGAGATAGGTGCGCTGAAAGTAACAATACCCTGCATTGTGGGAAGTCTTGCTTTTCCATTGAGGTGTGCTGTGAAAGAGATAGGTGCGCTGAAGGCAACACCCTCAGGGCGGTGGAAGACGAGAGATAGGTGCGCTGAAAGTAACAATACCCTGCATTGTGGGAAGTCTTGCTTTCCATTGAGGTGTGCTGTGAAAGAGATAGGTGCGCTGAAGGCAACACCCTCAGGGCGGTGGAAGACGAGAGATAGGTGCGCTGAAAGTAACAATACCCTGCATTGTGGGAAGTCTTGCTTTCCATTGAGGTGTGCTGTGAAAGAGATAGGTGCGCTGAAGGCAACACCCTCAGGGCGGTGGAAGACGAGAGATAGGTGCGCTGAAAGTAACAATACCCTGCATTGTGGGAAGTCTTGCTTTTCCATTGAGGTGTGCTGTGAAAGAGATAGGTGCGCTGAAGGCAACACCCTCAGGGCGGTGGAAGACGAGAGATAGGTGCGCTGAAGGCAACACCCTCAGGGCGGTGGAAGACGAGAGATAGGTGCGCTGAAGGCAACACCCTCAGGGCGGTGGAAGACGAGAGATAGGTGCGCTGAAAGTAACAATACCCTGCATTGTGGGAAGTCTTGCTTTTCCATTGAGGTGTGCTGTGAAAGAGATAGGTGCGCTGAAGGCAACACCCTCAGGGCGGTGGAAGACGAGAGATAGGTGCGCTGAAAGTAACAATACCCTGCATTGTGGGAAGTCTTGCTTTCCATTGAGGTGTGCTGTGAAAGAGATAGGTGCGCTGAAGGCAACACCCTCAGGGCGGTGGAAGACGAGAGATAGGTGCGCTGAAAGTAACAATACCCTGCATTGTGGGAAGTCTTGCTTTCCATTGAGGTGTGCTGTGAAAGAGATAGGTGCGCTGAAGGCAACACCCTCAGGGCGGGGGAAGACGAGAGATAGGTGCGCTGAAGGCAACACCCTCAGGGCGGTGGAAGACGAGAGATAGGTGCGCTGAAAGTAACACCCTGCATGCTGCTGGGGACAGCAAGCAATGCAACTCCGTGGTACCTGGCAGTGGGAGCTACGTAAGCTGAGAGGAACACTTAGTCAAATGGTGTGCTTAGGTGTGCTGAGGGAAACACGTAATGGGAAGGAAACGTTGTGACGAATGTCACAGTCACATATTGCTTGCTGCTGGGTATGCTAAATCTCTTCCCTCTTCCCTCCTTCTGACTTTTGAGTCGACTCAAAAGTCACCTTGCATGCTGCTGGGTATGCTAAATCTCTTCCCTCTTCCCTCCTTCTGCTCGTTCATCTCCCCCATACTGCAGCACCATCGGTCGGCAGTACTATGCAACGCTGAGCCCTGGGAACGGAGTGGAGCTCAAGGGAGTGAGCGTAGGCACGGCACAGACTGTCAGGCGGGAAGGCACCACCTCAGTTTCTCCCTCCCCTCGTCCCTCCCTCTGGTGGTTCCTCTTTCCCCTCCCTCAGCACCATTGGTCCGCAGACACGGCACAGACTGTCAGGCGGGAAGGCACCACCTCAGTTTCTCCCTCCCCTCGTCCCTCCCTCTGGTGGTTCCTCTTTCCCCTCCCTCAGCACCATTGGTCGGCAGACACGGCACAGACTGTCAGGCGGGAAGGCACCACCTCAGTTTCTCCCTCCCCTCGTCCCTCCCTCTGGTGGTTCCTCTTTCCCCTCCCTCAGCACCATTGGTCGGCAGACACGGCACAGACTGTCAGGCGGGAAGGCACCACCTCAGTTTCTCCCTCCCCTCGTCCCTCCCTCTGGTGGTTCCTCTTTCCCCTCCCTCAGCACCATTGGTCGGCAGACACGGCACAGACTGTCAGGCGGGAAGGCACCACCTCAGTTTCTCCCTCCCCTCGTCCCTCCCTCTGGTGGTTCCTCTTTCCCCTCCCTCAGCACCATTGGTCGGCAGACACGGCACAGACTGTCAGGCAGGAAGGCACCACCTCAGTTTCTCCCTCCCCTCGTCCCTCCCTCTGGTGGTTCCTCTTTCCCCTCCCTCAGCACCATTGGTCGGCAGACACGGCACAGACTGTCAGGCAGGAAGGCACCACCTCAGTTTCTCCCTCCCCTCGCCCCTCCCCTCCCTCTGCTGGTACTTCACTCTGTTACCACAGCACCATTGGTCGGCAGTACTATGCAACGCTGAGCCCTGGGAACAACGGGGTGGAGCTCAAGGGAGTGAGCTTCGCATAGCAAGTCACACTCATTTACTCCCTGTCTCTGCACTCCTCCCTCTCCTCATCCCACAACCGCAGCACCATTGGTCGGCAGTACTATGCAACGCTGAGCCTTGGGAACGGAGTGGAGCTCAAGGGGGTGAGCTTTGGAGGCACCGCACAGACAGCCAATAAAGTGCTCCTGCCCGCTTCTGCTGCTGTCAGGCCTGGCGCCTCTGCCTCTGATGTGAGTCTCTCACCCCTTGGCACACGCTCTTAGCACACATGCCTTTGAGTTGACTCCAAAGTCACCTGGGGTTGGAGTTGAAGGGAGTGAGCTTTGGAGGCACGGCACAGACGGCCAATAAAGTGCTCCTGCCGGCTTCTTCCGCTGTCAGGCAGAGGCCTCTGATGTGAGTCCTGCAGCACGCTCCTTGACACATGTGCTCACATGTGCGTATCACATGTGCGTATCACATGAGTTGACTCAAAGGTCAGTAAAGTGCTGCTGCCGGCTTCTGCTGCAGTCAGAGCAGGCGCTTCTGCCTCTGATGTGAGTTTCGTTCCCCTTACCACAAGTGCTGATTACATGAGTCGACTCAAAGGTCAATAAAGTGCTCCTGCAGGCTTCTGCTGCTGTCAAGCCAGGCGCCTCTGCCTCTGATGTGAGTCACACTCCCCTTGGCACAAGTGCTGATTACATGAGTCGAGTCAAAGGTCAATAAAGTGCTCCTGCAGGCTTCTGCTGCAGTCAGAGCAGGCGCCTCTGCCTCTGATGTGAGTCCTGTGCTTTTATCACAAGGAGACTCTAGAGGCAACCCAAAGGTCAATAAAGTGCTCCTGCAGGCTTCTGCTGCAGTCAGAGCAGGCGCTTCTGCCTCTGATGTGAGTCACGTGCCTCTTACCAACTGCGCTGTCCTTATCACATGTGCATTTATCACAAGGTGACCTTTGGGTCGAGTCAAAGGTCAATAAAGTGCTGCTGCCGGCTTCTGCTGCAGTCAGAGCAGGCGCCTCTGCCTCTGATGTGAGTCACGTGCCTCTTATCATCACAAGTCTTTATCACGTTTCCTTTTCACATGTGCTAATCATGTGTCGTTATCATGCGCCCTTACCACATCCCTTAAGCACATGTGTCCTTATCACATCACTGGGCCGGTGAATCCACGTGTGTGTGCATACCCCAACCAACCTCTCTTTTGACTTTTGAGTCGACTCAAAAGTCACCTTTTTGAGTCGACTCAAAAGTCACCTTTTTGAGTCGACTCAAAAGTAAGCACATGTGTCCTTATCACATCACTGGGCCGGGTGAATCCACGTGTGTGTGCATACCCCAACCAACCTCTCTTTTGACTTTTGAGTCGACTCAAAACGAGGGGACTTTTGAGTCGACTCAAAAGTCACCTTTTTGAGTCGACTCAAAAGTAAGCACATGTGTCCTTATCACATCACTGGGCCGGGTGAATCCACGTGTGTGTGCATACCCCAACCAACCCCTCTTTTGCCCTGCACCTGTTTCCTTTCCCCCTCTGATCTCTCCCCAGGCCGCTCTGTGTGACATCACGGCTATCGACAAATCAAAGCTGGCGGGGCGAATCATCGTGTGCACCTTCCAACCATCAGCCTCCAAGCCTGCAGGGATTCCCCTCAGCACCCTTGCTGCTTACAAGGCAGCAGCGCTCGTCCTCCTTAGCGGCTCGCCCCAAACAGACAGCATGCCCATGCTCCCTTTCACCGACCTGCCCCTCCTATACCTGACCAACGCCGTGGGCGGGCAGCTGAAAAACTACCTGCAGCAGACGGCCAATCCCGTGGCGACACTTGGCGAGTACACCACCACTAATTCATCCAACGCTCCCCAAATGGCCTTTTTTTCATCGACCGGACCAACCATAAACCCGTCCCTCTTCCCGATCCCATCCTTCCTCCCAACCAACGACATCTTAAAGCCAGACATTGTAGGTCCAGGGTTCCAGCTCTGGTCGTCGTACCGAGGCAAGAGCGCAGCTTCGGCAGCCACCGACCCTCCCACGTTCAACTGCATTTCTGGTACATCCATGGCTACACCACATCTCGCCGGAATCGCGGCATTATTAATTCAGAAGAATCCAGGCTGGACGCCCGCCCAGGTGATGTCTGCAATGATGACTACAGCATCTACAGTAAACAACGCCGGCCAGCCAATCAAACGAGCCAATGGGGACGTCGCCACCCCGTGGGATTATGGCTCAGGGCAGGTTGACCCGTCAAGGATATTAAACCCCGGGCTGACTTTAACCTCTGGGTTTAACGATTATGTGAATTTCCTTGCGAGCCGGAATTTCCAGCAGACAAAGCATGCGTTTCCGGGGCTGAAGGGGATCCGGGCGCGCAAGCCGTGGAATCTCAACCGTCCAACGATCTCGATCTCACGGCTGTCGGTCCGCGGGAAGAAGATAGTGCGCACGGTTCGGAATGTGTTTGACCAGCTGTCGACGTACACTGTGAAGGTTCGGGTGCCGTCGGACGTGCAGGTTCGGGTGTCGCCGAGCCAGTTTACGGTTGGTCCGGGGGAGGTGCAGCGGATCACGATGTTTGTAAAGGCGAAGAAGGTTGTGAGGGCGTTTCTGTTTGGGTCGCTTAGACTGGTGGATGAGCACGGGCATGCAGTTAATATGCCAATTGCACTGCGTACGGTGTTACTCTGAGTGCTGGGAGCGGTGCTGTGCGGTGCTGACGGTGCTTGAGGTCTATGGTGCAGTGCAGTGGAGACAGTGCAGCAGAAGGGAAGGAGTGGTAGGGTCGCAACCCTGTTGGGTGGTGGAAGGAGTACCGTATGTGGTAGACATTCCAGCGCAAGGTGGCAGTATGAAGCTGGGGATGTGGAGGTGGTAAGGAAACGCTGGTCCAATTAAGATGCTTAGAATAAGGTGATGGGAGGTAGATGGTGGAGGACCTGGAATCCAGCCAGGGTACTTTTGCCATCTCCATGTGCAATTACCTAGCACCCCTTTATACTGCCAATTTGTAAGGTACATGTTGGGTTGTGATGCATTTTGATTGGTCACCTCACCAAACCAGCCCAGAAAACCAATTCTGCGACTTCGAGCGACCTCAACCACGGAAAGAATCGCCAGCCCAGCACAACCAAATGCAAAACATCTGCAAAACAACTTGAGACAGAATGTAGGAGTGGCTAGAGCCGAGGAGAACACCCTCTCGACTGAACTATCACGCTAGCGGCAATCACGCCAATCCCATTCACGGCAAGCAGCACATCCTACTCGCATGTCTAACACTCACACACATTTCAGAGAAACCTACATAGAGATAAAATCGCGTCGGAAAAGCAAGATAGCGTAGGATAGTACCGTAGGTTGAATCCCTCCGCATTCGCCGGGTCGCCTGCGATGAGGACTCGTCGCCGTAATAGAAGGCGCAATGTAAGGCACATTCCTCGCTCACACTCCTCCCCTCCGCGCTCACTGTCTCTGCCCTCCGCGCTCACATTCCTCTCCTCCGCCCTCACAGAGACACGCATCTGTTGGTATTCTACTCACGTGCATTTCGTGGGGGATAGAGGTGATGTGAGTGGTATGGCTTCTCGACCTAAACCATGATGTGTTTGGAGGTGTGTTGCGCGGTTTAGGAGTGCAGTTTTTTGTGCGAGCAGTTTGAGGTCTGGGCGTCGCACCCCAACCACCTCTCAGGTCCGACCAGGTTGGGCTAGTTTGGTTCACGAATTTTGGACAGTTCGCAGATGTGGCTGCGTGCTCGTCAACTTTCGCAACTCGCCATCCAATAACAAAACACCTACATATGTCAATGGCAAAACACTTTTTGTACTTGAGATCCTGGCTTTGATGAAAATATTTTCTGATTGTGTTTGTCGAATTTTTGTTTTGAAGTTTTGATGAACAATAAAAGATATTCTGGGTCAGGGCTGCATGTCCATGGCTCGTGCGAACCCTGGCGATGAATTCATTTCGTTTGTCAGAATGGCCCAACTCAGAACTCCACGACACTCTTTCCCTAATAAACGTGTTACCACGTCATTTCGCCTTCGTAAGTCCGTAGCACTGAGTGTTCGCCCAAGCGTCGGTGGATTTTCGTGCGGTTCGCGTCGCACGTCCCTCCTTCCCCAAGCCAACCTCGGTGAGGGCGGCACCGCCCCGTAAATGTCTTCGGATTTCTGGGGCGCCTAGAAATTCGCCCCAAATCCACCTCCCCTTCCCCCCCACTGCAATGTTCAAACAAAAGCAGCGTCGCAGCCTCGCAAGAAACACAGCAGGAACAGAAAAGCAAAGCAAATAGCACCGACAGTGCGACACACACCCGAAACTGAAATTCTTGCCTTTAGAGAGAATCCAGCTCGGCAAACAGGTAGCATCGTCGCACGGTATCTCAGCCCTCCGAATCGTCTCTAACAGTGCAACATAGCTACGGCGATAGGTGGATTCCTGAATCTTTAGCATGGAATCCTGCCATTGACAGTCTCGCGTAGTCAGCAGGCAAGCACCATTGGATTCAAACATGCTGCTGCGCGCCTCTCGTAGTCTCCCGCTGCCGCATCGCGATGCTGATACGGCTGCCTCGCGACTGCTCTTCGCGAAGTACAGAACGAATCGTCTGTGAATTCAATCTGAAATCGAGCGCGATGTCCCGTCGCCGCGTAACGATTCCCCGTTTCCATGTCGCAATGTCTCGTCGCCGCGTCGCGAGGCCCAGACCGTTTCTTCGCGTCTCTCAGCAGCTCGTAATCTGCCTCGTATTACTCGTAGGAGCTCCCTGGAGTTTCCCTGCGGACCGCTCATCCCAAGGTATAGGGAAAAATGAACATCACAACGAATCCCGTCGCTTACTATTTTCCGTTCTTCCTTCGCTCCTGTGTCCCCCCTCATTACGCACTTCTGCACATACTTCTTAGTTCGGCCCGATTTGAAACCATTTGGTTTGGCTCGAAACACCATCCCCGGCTGATTCGGTGAATCAACCCTTCCCCGAGTCGTCCTGCCAGATGTCTGATACCCCTTCCCCCTCACACTCATGGTTTTTCTCCCCCTCCCTTGTGACCCATCTCACTCCACCATCCGTCCCCTACGCGGACTCCCACGAGCAGGATCAGGAGGAGGAGCAGCTGCAGCAGTAGCAGGAGCGGCGGCGGCAGTAGCAGAAGAAGGAGGAGGGGGAGGAGGAGACGCAGCAGCAGCAGCAGCAGCAGCAGCAGCAGCAGCAGGGGGTGGCATTCGACGAGGGTACCTGGTGTATCTGCGTAATGCTCCTCCCGTTCTCAACTACCACGGCGGAATCCCGGGTATTCCCGCGACCTCTCCGCCGGACGACGATAGCGTAGACGAAATAGACGACACAGTTAGCGACGTTAGCGATGGTAACCAAGAACCTGCGGCAGATTCTCCTGTCGCTGGTGAAACTGACACTGCGACGAGACAAGAGAGTGCGACGGCGGGAAGAAATCTGCGTGGCGGGTTGGGTGAATCTCAAACAACGCAAATACAGCGGTTGAGAGGGGCGAGAGGAAGTTCTGCGATGAATCGTCTCGTGGGTCGCTTTCGCCCCAGACGGCCAGATGTTCGCGCGCCGAACGTGCGAGCTTTCGTCAAATTCCTGCGAAAGTCGCAGCGACGGCTGCTAGCGGATATCCAGATTCCCGCATCTGCGGTGTTGCACAGTTACACTTATACGCTTAACGGGCTTGCGGTATCGCTGACAGAAGCGGAGGCACGTCGGCTGAAGCGGCATCCTGCTGTGGCCTCTGTAGAGGAGGACCGAATGGTAAGTGTACACCAATAAAAAATAAATGAATAATTCTTCTGAAACGTACTGTTCTTTTGTTTGCATGTCTTGTTATACCAATTTTGGGTGTTCACTTCCTGCTTGAAACCTGGCAGGTGCGTGGCCTCACAGTGGATTCGCCAACTTTTCTAAAGCTGCCCGACAGCTTGTGGGCAACGAATGGCGGGCAGAGCCGGGCAGGCGAGGATGTGATTATAGGCGTGGTGGACTCTGGGATATGGCCAGAGCACCCTTCGTTTGCAGATGATGTAAGTGCAGCACAACCATAGATGGCCTTGGACCCATGTGCAATATCGCGTATGTCTTGTATCCTTCACCCCATGGACACTCATTCGCTCATATGTTGTGAAATTCACTCCCTTATTCCCTTCCTCTCCATCAGCACACGCCCACGCTACCACTCGCCTACCCCCCACCCACCCACCCACTCCCCCAACCCCCCATTCCCCCACTCACTCACTCACTCCCCCGTCTAACCTCCAGCTTTCTAACCCCTGTTCCCTCCTCCCCCTTTCTACGGCCCTTCCGCTTCCTCCCCCTTTCCACCCTTCAACAATTACACCTATACAGCCCACCCGTGAAATAAGAGTGTTCCAGAGACGTCTCAAAAACATTCTTATTTCACCTCCCTTCCGCCCTTCAGCAATCAGACCCGTACAGCCCACCCCCAGGTCACTGGCGGGCCAGGTGCGCACAGTAACAGGCAATGTTTCCGTTTCACCCCCTATTTCCCCCTCCTACCCACCCCCCTCCTCTCTGCATCCCCCCTCCCCATTATGCCCTCCCATCCAGCCATCAGACCCGTACGGTCCACCCCCTTCTGGTTGGCGGGGCGGCTGCACAGTAACGGACGATTCCGAAGCATCGTGTAACGGCAAGCTGGTGTCGGCGCGATACTTTGTGGCGGGGCTGCTGGCCAATCGAGGCAGCATCAAGGGCCCCCTAACCTGCCTCATTCCCTCCCCCCTTTCCCCTCCTTCCCCCTCCCCTCTTCCTCCCTCCCCAGCCGTCAGACCCGTACGGCCCGCCTCCTAGTCGCTGGCGGGGAGGGTGCACAGTAGCGGACGATTTCCCCGAAACAGTGTGTAACGGCAAGCTGGTGGGGGCGCGGTACTTTGTGGCGGGGCTGCTCATAGAGCGAGGCAGCATCATGGGCCCCCTTCCTTAACCTGCCTCCTTTCTTTTTCCCTTCCCTCCTTCCTCCCCTCTCTCTTCCTCAGCCGTCGGACCCCTATGGCCCACCGCCAAGTAACTGGCGGGGCGGCTGCACAGTAGCTGACGATTTCCCCGAAGCAGCGTGTAATGGCAAGCTGGTGGGGGCGCGATACTTTGTGGCGGGGCTGCTGGCCAATCAGGGCAGCATTTCCGAGTCCTTGGATTTCATGTCGCCACGGGATGGGAATGGGCATGGCTCGTGGTGTGCGGGGTGAGTGGATGGTATGGTGTGGTACAGTGCGGTACGTTCTTGCAAGGTACGGTACAGTGCAGTGCGGTCTTCTACGGTACGGTAATATGTGCGGGCGAATCAGGGCAGCGTTTTGGATTTCATGCTGCCCCGGGATGGGAATGGTCGTGGCTCGTGGTGAGTCAATGCATGGGTGTGGGATATGGTATGGTACAGCACAGTACTGTATGGTTCAGTGTGGTATGGTGTGTATGGATCAGGGAAGCGTTTCCGAGTCCCTGGATTTCATGTCGCCCCGGGATGGGAACGGGCATGGCTCGTGGTGTGCGGGGTGAGTGGATGCATGGGTGTGGGATATGTATGGTACAGTGCAGTACTGTTCGGTTTAGCATGGTACGGTGCGGTCTAGTGTGGTACGGTGTGTTAACAGCAGGTCATCGTGAATGTGAGTGTGGAGGAGATGAAAGGCCATTTCGCACTTCCCCATACACCACCACTCCCCCTTTCCTGTCCCCTTTCAAATGTCAACAGTGCGGCAGCGGGCAATGCGTACGTGAGTGTGGAAATGCATGGCCGCAAGTGCGGCACAGCGAGCGGTGTGGCACCGCGTGCGCGCATCGCCATGTACAAGGCGCTCTGGCGCATGGCGGACGGCCTCCTCCCTACTCCACCTGCTCATCCCTCTCCACCCCTCCCAATCCAACAGAGCCCCTGCAGGCAACGCCAACGTGAGTGTGGAGATGCATGGCAGAAGCTACGGCACAGCGAGCGGAGTAGCACCGCGGGCGCGAATCGCCATGTACAAGGCGCTCTGGCGCATGGCGGACGGCGGGGCGTCTCCTCCCTACTCCACCTGCTCATCCCTCTCCACCCCTCCCAACCCAACAGAGCCGCTGCTGGTAACGCCAACGTGAGTGTGGAGATGCATGGGCGCAGCTACGGCACAGCAAGCGGAGTGGCACCACGTGCGCGCATCGCCATGTACAAGGCGCTCTGGCGCATGCAGGACGGCGGGGCGGCCGGCATGGACTCGGATATCCGGGCGTCTCTTCCCTACTCCACCTGCTCATCCCTCTCCACCTAACCCCACCCCACCCCACCCAACCCCACCCCGCCCCACCCCACCCCACCCCACCCCAACCAACAGAGCGGCAGCGGGCAACGCCAACGTGAGTGTGGAGATGCATGGCCGCAGCTACGGGGCAGCGAGCGGCGTGGCACCGCGTGCGCGCATCGCCATGTACAAGGCTCTGTGGCGCATGCAGGATGGCGGAGCGGCCGGCATGGACTCGGATATCCGGGCGTCTCTTCCCTACTCCACCTGCTCATCCCTCTTCACCTAACCCCACCCCACCCCACCCAACCCCACCCCGCCCCGCCCCGCCCCACCCCACCTCAACCAACAGAGCGGCAGCAGGCAACGCCAACGTGAGTGTGCTGATGGGCGGCCGTAATTACGGAGCAGCGAGCGGCGTGGCACCGCGGGCGCGCATCGCCATGTACAAGGCGCTCTGGCGCATGCAGGACGGCGGAGCGGCCGGCATGGACTCGGATATCCGGGCGGCGGTGGATACTGCCGTGGCGGACGGCGTGGATGTGCTGTCGCTGTCGCTCGGGGGAAGCATTCCGAATTACTTTTCTGATCTTGGTTACCTGAACGCCGCCAAGGTACGATTTTTTAGGCGCTTAAAAGAAAGCTGCCAAGGTACGCTAACTTTTGAGTTCCCTGCTTACCAAGAGCATATGTTCAAAATAATCAACTGTGGGTGTCTGATTGTCTGCACCTGCCTGCCTGCAGCCCCTCCATCCTTCCACTTTTAATACCGATGTATATCTCACAGAACCTTTGTTATATCTGCACACTCCTCCTGATAGGCCTACTCTGTGTAATGATTATAATATTTACAGTAATAACAGCAATGACCCTAAGTATAGCTATACAAATACTAACTCGTAGTAGATGATTGATTATAACGATAGTATTGATGATGAAAGAAAACCTTGTTGCCTACACTCCGATGCCCTTCGTTTTCTTTCTCACCTCAGGCCGGGGTATTCGTGGCGATGGCAGCAGGGAACTCCGGAGCTCCTTCCGCCGTCAAGGCGGTTGGCACCATAAGCAACGCGTCGCCGTGGTACCTCACCGTTGGGGCCAGGTGAGCCGTTGTTCCCCAGCATGCCCTCTCTATTCCCCCAAGGCCCACCTTATGAACTGCATACCACAGGGTAAGGCTGCCCCTCAACGTCAGTCCCAGATCCTCCAAGGCGGTTGGCACCAAAAGCAACCCGTCTTTCCTCAACCCCCCTGCACTATTAATAATCACTCTACGTATACCCGTGCGTGTGTTAACATTATAGGTCTGATCATAGTTACTGTTGTTACTACTCTGATAGTTACACTATGTGTGTTTTTTTTTGTTTTTTTTTTTGTTGTTTTTTTTTTTTTTTTGTTTTTCCGGTCATGGTTAATTTTAGCCACTAACAAACTAGCAAGTTTCCACCACCCCTCGTTTTCTCCCCTTATTGCAGCACCATGGGTCGAGACTTCATGGCCAACCTAACTCTCACCGCTCTTCCCACCACCACCACCGCTACAGCCACTGCCACCGCTACAACTTCTGCCACCGCTACAACCACTGCCGCCTCTTCTGCTGCCCCTGCTCCTGCTTCTGCTCCTGCCCCTGCCTCTGCTTCTGCCCCTGCCCCTGGTGCTGCCCCTGCCTCTGCCTCCACTGCTTCTGCTGCTGCTACCTCTGCTGCTACCTCTGCAGCTGACCCTGCCAGCCTATTGGCCGAGAGTTCTTGGGCAGAGAGTTTTCTGACCGAGAGTTCTTCAGGCGAGAATTCTTCAGCTGCAGCACCAGCAGCATCGGAGGAGGCAGGAAGGGAAGCACTGGTGGTGGCGGGGTGGAGCTTCGGAGGCACGCCCCTCACGGCTGGCCTGCCGGTGCTTGATGCTAGGGATGCTGCTGCGAATGGTGCCAGCCAGTCGCTGGTGAGTGCACAGGGCGCTTCTGTGCATATGTGTGGGCATGGGTGTGGGTATGAATGGGGTGGAGTTTCGGAGGCACGCCCCTCACGGCTGGCCTGCCGGTGGATGATGCCAGGGATGCTGCTGACGGTGGAGTGAGCCAGTCGCTGGTGAGTGCACGTGGGGGTGCATGGGTGGGTGTGTGGTGCATGCATGGGTGTATGTTTGTTTGGGCCGATTTTTGAGGCGCCTCAAAAATCGTGCATGGGTGGGTGTGTGGTGCATGCATGGGTGTATGTTTGTTTGGGCAACGCCCCTCCGACTGATCTGCCGGTGGTTGATGCCAGGGATGCTGCTGCGGATGGTGCTAGTCTGTCGCTTGTGAGTGCATGTGGGATGCATCGTTGTGTGCGGTTGCATGGGTATGTGCGGTTGCATGGGTATGTGCGGTTGCATGGGTATGTGCGGTTGCATGGGTATGTGCGGTTGCATGGGTATGTGCGGTTGCATGGGTTTGTGCGGTTGCATGGGTTTGTGGTGGTGCATGGGTGTGTTGGGATTCATGTTTCCAGCATAAACGCCTCTCTCAACCCCAACATTCTCCTCCACTCCGCCCTCTCCACTCGCCTGCTCACCCCCACTTCTCCCACCCGCTCCCCAATCCCTAATCCCACCCAAACAATACAGGCCAGCCAGTGCCATGCTCCCAGCATCAACGCCTCTCTCACCCTCAGCACCCTCCTCCTCTGCTCCCTCTCCTCTCGCCCGCTCACCGACGTTCTACTGGACTCCTCCACCCTTCGCCCCGCTGCTCTTGTGCTACTGGGATCTACTGACACGCCCCCCCGCCTGCCCTACACGCGCATGCCTGTTATCTACCTCAAGGCTTCTGATGCAGCTGCTCTCAGGACCTTCCTCGCCAGTACCACCAGGTATGTTGTCTCATCTCTTCCTCCCCGCCTGCCCTACACGCGCATGCCTGCTGTCTACCTCAAGGCTTCTGATGCAGCTGCTCTCAGGACCTTCCTCGCCAGTACCAATAGGTATGTTGTCTCTCATCTCTTCCTCCCCGCCTGCCCTACACGCGCATGCCTGTTATCTATCTCAAGGCTTCTGATGCAGCTGCTCTCAGGACCTTCCTCAGCAGTACCACTAGGTATGTCTTCTTCTCTCCTCCCCTCTCCTGCCCCTCCTTGGGCGGCGGCCTCAGAGTTTCCCTCTCTTCCCCCCCGCCTGCCCTACACTCGCATGCCCGTGTTTTACCTCAAGGCTTCTGATGCCGCTGCCCTTAGGACCTTCCTCGCTGGTACCACCAGGTATGTTGTCCCTTCTCTTCCCCGCTCTTCCCCCCTGCCTTCCCCGCGCATGCCAGTCATTTACCTCAAGGCTTCCGATGCAGCTGCTCTCAGGACCTTCCTCGCTGGTACTACCAGGTATGCCTTCCCGCCACAGCTGTTGCTGCTGGGGGCTACAGACACACCTCCCCGCCTGACCTACACGCGCATGCCTGTTGTCTACCTCAATGCTTCCGACGCCATCACTTTGAAGAGCTTCCTTGGCAGAACCACAAGGGATGGTATACCTCCCTTTTCTCTCTCCTCTTGTTCCCTCACCAATGTGCTCCTTGACGCCTCCACCCTTTGCCCCGCTGCCTTGGTGCTGCTGGGGGCTACTGATGCGCCCCCCCGCCTGCCTACACGCGCATGCCTGTCATTTACGTCAAGACTTCTGACGCTTCTGCTCTCAGAAGCTTCCTGGGAAGGACCACCAGGTACGGCAAACCTCCCCTTTCTCCCATCTCTCGTCCGCACACTGTCCTTCTCCTGGAAGCCTCCTCCCTTCGCCTTGCTGCCCTGATGCTTCCGGGGGCTACAGACACACCTCCCCGTCTCCCCTACACGCGCATGCCTGTCGTCGATCTCAAGGCTTCTGACGCCACTACTCTCCAGCAATTGCCTTTTTCTCTCCAAAGGTCCAGTCAACCCCACCACAGCGACCACACTCAACCCGCTATCCTTTCCCCCTTACGCTTTCTTTGCTCCCCTTCCCTCTTCTTCTCCCCCCATCCCCAGCCACCAGGCGTCTCTATCCCAGCCCTACACCTCCTCCACCTCCCCAGCCCCTGCCATTGCCTCTTTCTCCTCCACAGGTCCCCCAGTCAACCCCACCACATGCCTTCCCTCATGCTTTCCCCGTTTTCTTCCCCTGTTCCTCCCTCCCCTTCCCCCCATCCCCAGCCACCAGGCGTCTCTATCCCAGCCCTACACCTCCTCCACCTCCCCAGCCCCTGCCATTGCCTCTTTTTCCTCCACAGGCCCCCCAGTCAACCCCACCACCCCCTCCTCCTCACTGCCTCCTTACCTTCCAACCAACGACATCCTTAAACCTGACATTGTAGGCCCGGGGTACCAGCTCTGGGCGGCCTACCGAGGCTCCAGCGCAGGCTCGGGAGGAGCAGCGTCGGGCCCGCCCTCGTTCGGGCTGCTCTCGGGAACATCCATGTCTACACCTCAGCTCGCAGGAATCGCGGCGCTTATAATACAAAAGAAACCGGATTGGACACCGGCGCAAATAATGTCAGCAATAATGACTACAGCGAGTATAGAAAACAACCAAGGGGGGAGAATTAAGAAGCCGAATGGGAACGATGCGACGTGGTGGGATATGGGGGCAGGGCATGTAGATGCGGCTAGAGTGCTGGATCCTGGGTTGACGTTCAATGCGGGGTATGGTGATTATGTGAGCTTTCTGGCTGGTAGGAGCATGGTAGAAACGGCACGTGTGCTGAATGTTGGTAAGAAGAAGGGGGGGAAGAGTAGGGGCCACAGTCGTATTAGCAAAAGTGGCGGCACCAGCACCAGCAGTGGCGAAAGTGCCACCAGCAGCGACAGCACCAACAGCAGCACCAACAGTGGTAGTGGGGGCGGCAGCAGCAGTTCCAGCAGCAACAGCAGCAGCAACAGCAGCGCCAACAGCAGCAACAACAGCAGTAGTAGAAAGGTAAAAAAGGCTTCAGCAGCGAAGAAGCAAAGGTGGTGGCAGTGGTGGAGATGGGCACAGAGCGGTTCCTCCAAAAAGACATCCACCATCCGTTCCATCCCAGCGACGCATCTCAACCCTCCATCCATCTCTGTTTCTCAGCTTCGGGGGGTTACTGACATCCCTAGAACAGTCACCAATGTGTACAATGCCACGTCAGCATACCAAGCCACAGTTACATCTCCTGCTGACGTGGACGTTCAGGTTACCCCAGACCAGTTTACGATTGGTCCAGGGCAGTCGAAGCGGTTTGTGGTTCGGCTGCAGCCGATTGGAGAAGCAGCTGAGGCTTGGGAGAGGTTCGGGTTTGGTTCGGTGAGGTGGGAGGATGAGCATGGGCATGTGGTGATCATGCCTTTAGTGACATGGATGAGTGCTTGAGAGATGAAGCTGCAGAGGATACTTCCCTTCCCTGCATGCAGTACCGGTATCAAGGTGACTTTTGAGTTGACTCAGAAGTCACTAAGCTGCGGAGGCATACTTCCCTTCCCTGCATGCAGTACCGGTATCATTCCCCTCGTGCTATCAGGGGGGCTGGTTTTCAACTTCTCTCACACCAGCCAGTGTGGTATTCACACTGAGTGATGTGGAGTTTTTTTCCCAGCTCTACGGATCGTGGTATGGAATGCTCCGCATGGAAGATGTACGGCACCTACTATGGTGGCTGCATCTTTACAAAAGCAGTGTTTATAATCATATAAAGGAAGAAAAAGGGCTTGCTGCAAATTGAATTCGTGAATGTCTAGGCAGAAAGACGGGAAGCTATGTACACTTGACTTCATTAATGAAACAAATTTCATGCAGATGCATTGACTTGACTTTATTGGCAAACCCATAGGCACATTACGAACCAACTGCTACTCGGCATGGCATGAGATGGCATGGCACAGCATGGCACGGCACCATGGTGGGAGGTGTGAGAGCCAGGGACCAGAGGACAGCAGGGCTTTAGGGTTGAGCCGCAGACAGAACCCCTGATTTCTATTTTTGCTTCTCTTGCGGCCGGCATCGGAGGGTGAAATCTGCAACGAGTGAGAAGTGGTCGCTGGGCCAACGGACGCCTGGAAGCACATCTAGGCTCGAAGCAAATGCAGCTTTGAAGCGCGTTACTGCTCATTCGGCTGACATCGGAGGGTGAACTCTGCGATTAACGAGAAGTGGTCGCTGCGCTGGGCCAGTGGCGTCGGCGAGTGGGCATGGCACCATGGTGGGCATTTGAGGCGCCTCAAAAGGCGCATCTAGGCTCTCCCTTGGGCGAAGTGGGACGCGTGTTACTGCTCTTTTGGCTGACACCGGAGGGTGAACTCTGCGATTAACGAGAAGTGGTCGCTGGGCCAGCGGCGAGTGGGCATGGCGCCGTTGTGGGCGAAGTCGGACACTGGAAGCACGTCCAACACTCGCTGCACCTCCAACTCGTGGGTGTGCCTGGCGGTGGTTGGGGGGCAGGCAAAGGAGGAAGAATCTGACTGCCCTGTGCAGGGTGGTGTGGGAAGTGCAAAGTGCGACACTGGCAGCACGTCCAACACTCGCTGCACCTCCAACTCGTGGGTGTGTGCATTCAGTTGAATTTTGAGGCGCCTCAAAATTCAACTCAACACCCGCTGCACCTCAAGCTCGTGACTGTGCCTGCTGGTGGTTGGGGGAGGAAGGGTTGAGAGGTTCTGAGATTCAAGAACATTTGAGTCGTCTGTTTAGTCACCTTCTGTAGGCTCACCAGATGTAACCCATTCCAACATAGCCCACGCTCACCAATTGTAACCCACGCTCACCAAATGTAACCCACGCTCACCAAATGTAACCCACGCTCACCAGATGTAACCCATGCCTCACCAGATGTAACCCACGCTCACCACATGTAACCCACGCTCACCAGATGTAACCCATGCCTCACCAGATGTAATCCACAGTTCCACAGAAATTCGCATGGAATGACGTCAGCAACGGCTCTCCCTTGGGGCATGCATGACGATTCTCAGTCTGCCAGAACGGATTGATGATGTCAGCAAACAGAACGATGGTGTCACACACACAGAATAACGGCATAAGGAAGCAGAATAATGATGTCAGCATGCAGAGCAGAACAACAGGGCATGTGCATGTGCTGAGTGCTGCTGAAGAGATTGTGATGGAGTTTTGAGACATGGGCATGTGCATGTGCATGTGCATGTGCATGTGCATGTGCTGAAGAGATTGTGACATTGAGACATGCAGGAGTTTTGAGACATTTTGTACGAATTATTTAATTATTTGAGCCATTGTAAAAAACACCTACCATACGCATACCATCTCAACGAAAATGCATGAGTACATGAGGGGAAAGTGCATGAGTACATGAGGGGAAAGTGCATGAGTACATGAGGGGAAAGTGCATGAGTACATGGCCGTGTGAATATAAGTTCACGAGGGAAATCCAATCTCACTGGTGCTTGGGAGTAAGCGCTCTTGAGTTTCAGGGGGTGTCTTTTGAGGCGCCTCAAAAGGGAAATCCAATCCAATCTCACCGGTGCTTGGGAGTAAGCGCTCTTGAGTTTCAGGGGGTGTTTCACAACAGTATCCCTTCCATCACTCCCTGTTGCAATCCTTAGCTCCTCATAGGACCACCCCCCCACTCCCCCCCACCGCCCCATCCCTCCCACTCCTCTTCCCATCCCTCCCATCCCTCCCATCCCTCCCCACCCTAATCCTCCACTCCCCAGAGCAAAAGTGCTTCCCCCCCACCCACTGCCATCATTGCCCAATCCTCCCACCTCCTCCTTCCCGTTCTCATTGACAGCCACTCTCTGCCGTTTTGCCTCTGAAATGGAAACAAAACTGCCAGATGGCGTCGCGCCATTGGCCGCTCCCTCTGCTGTGATGCTGCTGATGGTGGTAGCAGTGGTGGTAGCAGTGGTGGTGGCGGTGGTGGTGGTGGCAGTGGTGATGGTCTCAGAAGCACCGGATTGCTCTCTCGACCAGTGCTGACTCAAGTGGGAAGCCGATTGGAACCGAAATTGCTGCTGCCCCTCCCCTCCCTCCAGCTGCCCTGATACCCTTCGTCGATCAGTGAGTGCAAGGTCCAACTGGAAAGCAGGACGGGTGAAAGACAACGGTGGGGGAGTTGAATGGGTGGCTTTATGTCAACTCAAAAGACGATTGGAACCAGATTTGCTGCTGCCCCTCCCCTCCCTCCAGCTGCCCTGATACCCTTCGCCGATCAGTGAGAGCGAGGTCCAACTGCAAGGCAGGACAGGTGAAGGAGCAAAGGTGGAGGAACTGAACGGTGGCTTTTGAGTCGACTTTAAAGAGGATTTGTGACTGCCCCTCCCCAATCGGTGAGAGCCAGATTCAATTGCAAGGCAGGATGGATGGGTGAAGGACGGAGGTGGAGAGATGGAGAAATTCAACAGAGGCGAAGAAAAACTGCAGGGTAGATCACCCTAACATATTTTAGAGTGTAATGAGTCACCATGGCATAGATACAAACGGTTTTGTTCAAAGAAGGAACTGGAAACAACAGCAGAAAAAGAAAGGCAACTATAGCAAAATAACACATCCGCCTCTTCACCAGAATCTAATAGTCAGCATTTGATAAGCCTACCTGTGATGAAGCGATGAAGTCATAGAGTGCACTCTGTAGCGGCAAGAAACACACACAGACAGTGCAGCGCATCCAGAGAGAAAAAATAAGAGGGAAAACGGAGTTTAAATTGCAGCTCCGCACGATGGCTTAAATTGGACAAGACGAGCAAAAATCCAGACAGTACAGCACACGCGGAGAAGAAACAAGAGGAAGAAACAAGAGGAAGAAACAAGAGAGAAAACGGAGTTAGATTGCAGCTCCGCACGATGGCTTCTTTTGAGGTGCCTCAGAAAACGGAGTGAAATGCAGCTTTGCACGATGGCTTTGACAAGACGAGCGCAAATGGGAAACGGAAGAGCATGAACGAGATTAGTGATTGGATGAACCTTCTTGTGGCCTCTAGTGTTGACTTGCGTTGACTTGCATTGACTTGAAGTAACTTGTAGTGACATCGATTGAACTTACAGCAGGAGTGGCGTTGAAATCCCCGCACACCACGGCCGGGCAGCTTCCGTGCTTCTCGGATAGTTGATGGGCGGCAGACAGGAGCCGGGACAGCTAGGCATCATGGTGTTGACTCATGTTGACTTGTGTTGACTTGCATTGACCTGTGTTGAACTTACAGCAGGAGTGGCGTTGAAATCCCCGCACACCACGACCGGGCAGCTCCCATGCTTCTCCGACAGCTGGTGGGCGGCGGAGAGAAGCTGCGAGGGCTGCGCACCCTACCCTTGACTCCCGTTGACTTGCATTGACTTCAACCATACTCACCGCAGGAGTGGCGTTGAAATCCCCGCACACCACGACCGGGCAGCTTCCGTGCTTCTCGGATAGCTGATGGGCGGCAGACAGGAGCCGTGACATCTGAGCCAGCTTGATGTCTCCTCGCTTCGGGTTGAAGAGCACGTGAATGTTGGCCAGAACGAGGCAGCTGAGGAATTGGGAGAGGGCGGAAAACGGAAAAGAAAAGATGGTAAGGCAGTTGCAGAGGGACAGCTGGGCCAGCTTGATGTCTCCTCGCTTGGGGTTGAAGAGCACGTGGATGCTGGTGAGGACCAGAAGGCTGTAAGTTGGGTAAAGAAGGTGGGGAAGGAGAGGGGGAGGGGGGGAGGGGGGGAGGGTTGGGAATGATAGAGTGGAAGCGGAGAGAAGCCGGGACGGGGGTGCACCGGGACAGCTGAGCCAGCTTGATGTCGCCACGCTTGGGGTTGAAGAGGACGTGAAGTGAATGTTGGGGTGAACAGCGGAGGGTGAACAATACTTGAGAAGTGGTTTGGTGGAATCAAGCAGTGGCTGGCTGGCTGGAGTGTTGGTGAATGGGTGGCTCACCAAATCGCCTGTCAAATATCGTTCATCCTCCGCTGTCCACTCTGTCAACTAGGCGAGGGGAAGAGCTGAGCTGACTGACTGACTTCTCTTTCTACCTGCTATTCTCTTCTTCTGTCTCGAGGTGACTTTTGAGTCGACTCAAAAGTCAGCTAGCTGACTGACTTTTGAGAATTCTCAAAAAATTAGTCGACTCAAAAGTCAGCTCAGCTGACTGACTTTTCTATCTACCTGCTATTCTCTTCTCCTGCCTCTTCTCCTTCTTCCAGTTCCTCGACTCCTTCCCCCCCTCTTGTTTTCGAGAATTCTCAAAAGGGACGAGTATTGCTACCAGGTGCGAAGGTGCAGAACGAATTTTGAGACGTCTCAAAAGTCAAAAGGGACGAGTATTGCTACCAGGCGCAAAGGTGCAAGAAGTCACCTGCTATTCTCTTCGTCTCTCTCTTCTCCTTCTTCCAGTTCCTCGACTCCTTCTCCTTCCTTGTGTTCTCCAATTAACTGGTTGAATAAAGCGGGCCACGGTGAGTTCAAATGGGGAGGAAAGAGGCGGGTTTTGGGCAAAGAAAACAGAGAGAAACAACTTGACACCTTTCAATTGACCAAATGGTACCTTGAGCACACTGAGCAGGGCAACATTGTCTCGCAGCCCCACAGCTGCGAATTCGATAAATTGAGAGTCAACACAGGACCACCTTCAGCGTAAATGTGGGGCGAGGATGCAGAGGAAAGGAGAGACGAAACATAGAGCTTTTTAATAGTCCACACATTCATCCAGGGTACCTTGAGCACAGTGAGCAGGGCAACATTGTCCCTCAGCCCCACAGCTGCAAACTCAATGGACTGGAAGTCAACACACGACCACCTGCAATGTGCATGAGGAGAACAGGAGGAGAGACGTTTGAGTCGACTCAAAAGTCACCTCGTTGCAAACTCAATGGACTGGAAGTCAACACAGGACCACCTGCGATGTGAACCCGGGTGATTATGGAAGGGAAGAGGAAAGAAAAAAAGACTCGGTGACGATTTTTTAGCCGCCTTAATGGTTCCCACCTCCATGCAAACTCATTGGATTGAAGGTTAACACACGACCACCTGCAGTATGAAGGGAGAGGACACAGATGAGGGGGTGGGACACATGTGGCGTGGGACACATGTGGGGTGGGACACATGTGGGGTGGGACACATGTGGGGTGGGACACACGTGGAGTGGGACACACGTGGAGTGGGACACACGTGGAGTGGAACACACAATGCATCCTAGATATAAACGTACATACAACACGTGCAACAGAAAACCGCATGGCTCACCTCTTGGTATTCCAGAAATTAGCGCAGCCATCCTTGTTGCCTCCCGTGCGACACTGGGAGGAGAATGATTGAAAAGGAAAACAGTGAGACACACGTGCATAGGCTCTTACATACACGCGCATGGGCTCATACATACACGCGCATGGGCTCTTACATACACGCGCATGGGCTCTTACATACACGCGCATGGGCTCTTACATACACGCGCATGGGCTCTTACATACACGCGCATGGGCTCTTACATACACGCGCATGGGCTCTTACATACACGCGCATGGGCTCTTACATACACGCGCATGGGCTCTTACATACACGCGCATGGGCTCTTACATACACGCGCATGGGCTCTTACATACACGCGCATGGGCTCTTACATACACGCGCATGGGCTCTTACATACACGCGCATGGGCTCTTACATACACGCGCATGGGCTCTTACATACACGCGCATGGGCTCTTACATACACGCGCATGGGCTCTTACATACACGCGCATGGGCTCTTACATACACGCGCATGGGCTCTTACATACACGCGCATGGGCTCTTACATACACGCGCATGGGCTCTTACATACACACGCGCATGGGCTCTTACATACACGCGCATGGGCTCTTACATACACGCGCATGGGCTCTTACATACACGCGCATGGGCTCTTACATACACGCGCATGGGCTCTTACATACACGCGCATGGGCTCTTACATACACGCGCATGGGCTCTTACATACACGCGCATGGGCTCTTACATACACGCGCATGGGCTCTTACATACACGCGCATGGGCTCTTACATACACGCGCATGGGCTCTTACATACACGCGCATGGGCTCTTACATACACGCGCATGGGCTCTTACATACACGCGCATGGGCTCTTACATACACGCGCATGGGCTCTTACATACACGCGCATGGGCTCTTACATACACGCGCATGGGCTCTTACATACACGCGCATGGGCTCTTACATACACGCGCATGGGCTCTTACATACACGCGCATGGGCTCTTACATACACGCGCATGGGCTCTTACATACACGCGCATGGGCTCTTACATACACGCGCATGGGCTCTTACATACACGCGCATGGGCTCTTACATACACGCGCATGGGCTCTTACATACACGCGCATGGGCTCTTACATACACGCGCATGGGCTCTTACATACACGCGCATGGGCTCTTACATACACGCGCATGGGCTCTTACATACACGCGCATGGGCTCTTACATACACGCGCATGGGCTCTTACATACACGCGCATGGGCTCTTACATACACGCGCATGGGCTCTTACATACACGCGCATGGGCTCTTACATACACGCGCATGGGCTCTTACATACACGCGCATGGGCTCTTACATACACGCGCATGGGCTCTTACATACACGCGCATGGGCTCTTACATACACGCGCATGGGCTCTTACATACACGCGCATGGGCTCTTACATACACGCGCATGGGCTCTTACATACACGCGCATGGGCTCTTACATACACGCGCATGGGCTCTTACATACACGCGCATGGGCTCTTACATACACGCGCATGGGCTCTTACATACACGCGCATGGGCTCTTACATACACGCGCACGGGCTCTTACATACACGCGCACGGGCTCTTACATACACGCGCATGGGCTCTTACATACACGCGCATGGGCTCTTACATACACGCGCATGGGCTCTTACATACACGCGCATGGGCTCTTACATACACGCGCATGGGCTCTTACATACACGCGCATGGGCTCTTACATACACGCGCATGGGCTCTTACATACACGCGCATGGGCTCTTACATACACGCGCATGGGCTCTTACATACACGCGCATGGGCTCTTACATACACGCGCATGGGCTCTTACATACACGCGCATGGGCTCTTACATACACGCGCATGGGCTCTTACATACACGCGCATGGGCTCTTACATACACGCGCATGGGCTCTTACATACACGCGCATGGGCTCTTACATACACGCGCATGGGCTCTTACATACACGCGCATGGGCTCTTACATACACGCGCATGGGCTCTTACATGGGCTCTTACATACACGCGCATGGGCTCTTACATACATGCGCATGGGCTCTTACATACACGCGCATGGGCTCTTACATACATGCGCATGGGCTCTTACATACACGCGCATGGGCTCTTACATACACGCGCATGGGCTCTTACATACACGCGCATGGGCTCTTACATACACGCGCATGGGCTCTTACATACACGCGCATGGGCTCTTACATACACGCGCATGGGCTCTTACATACACGCGCATGGGAACAGCTCGCCTCACCAGAAATCAAGTCGGATTAGAACGAATCAATCAAATAAAATCAGATCAAAATGAATTACAGCAAATATAATCAGCGCACCTGGAAGATGCCGCCGTAGCCCAACATGCGTTTTGAGTCGAAATCAAACCGAATCAAATCAAATATAATCAGCGCACCTGGAAGATGCTGTCGTAGCCCAGCTTGCTCATCGCTCCACATAGATCCGCATGGTTGTCCACCTCCTGCCATGCAACAAACAATGGGAGCCTCTTGTAAAAAACTTGTTTACATACAACTTGCAGCAGCTTGTTCATCGCTCACTCCACATAGATCCGCATGGTTGTCCACCCTCTGCCATGCCATGCCACGCAAGAAACACGGCATGGGCAGCGAAAGATGGACAGCAAAAGTACATCTTAAGAGATCAATCAACATGCCCCTGAATTCTCCTTGGAATTTTCAAAGGCGCATCATCACCTTCTCAAACCCATCGGCCTATGCAAAGACGGTTCGTCTTTTGAGGATTCTCATAAGCGTTCATAAACTCCAGTTCAAAGCCACTGAACCCTGAATCCTGCACTCGAAAACCCCAAATTCCCCAACCCTACCTGCAGGCAGATAAGGTCCGGGGCATGCTGCTTGATCTCCTTGACAATCCCGTGCCTCCTCTGGTTCCAGTGCAGCACGCCTCTGGGCACTCCGGGGTAGAGCTCACGTGCGAACTTGGTGATGAGCACTGCACCTTTGAACCCGAAACCCGAAACCCTAGATCCGTGACTCTCAAAACCCTACCTGCAGGCAGATGAGGTCAGGCGAGTGGTGCTTGATCTCCTTCACGATCCCGTGCCTCCTCTGATTCCAGTGCAGCACGCCTCTGGGCACTCCGGGGTAGAGCTCACGTGCGAACTTGGTGGAGTGATACTGTGTGCCTGTGGCGCATCCACGCACAGCCCAATCTCCCACTAGAATGAACCGAATATCCCCTGAACCTGGACCCTGAACCCTACCTGCAGGCAGATAAGATCCCGGGCATGCTGTTTGATCTCCTTCACGATCCCGTGCCTCCTCTGGTTCCAGTGCAGCACGCCTTTGGGCACCCCGGGGTAGAGCTCACGGGCGAACTCAGCTGTGAGCATTGGACCTTTGAACCCGAAACCCTGGATAATGACTCTCGAAACCCTACCTGTAAGCAGACGAGGTCAGGGGCATGCTGCTTAATCTCCTTGACAATCCCGTGCCTCCTCTGGTTCCAGTGCAGCACGCCTCTGGGCACTCCGGGGTAGAGCTCACGTGCGAACTTGGTGATGAGCACTGCACCTTTGAACCCGAAACCCGAAACCCTAGATCCGTGACTCTCAAAACCCTACCTGCAGGCAGATGAGGTCAGGCGAGTGGTGCTTGATCTCCTTGACAATCCCGTGCCTCCTCTGATTCCAGTGTAGCACGCCACGGGGCACCCCGGGGTAGAGCTCACGTGCGAACTTGGCAGCGTGGCAGGACGCCAGCACGTTGTAACTCATCACACTCACACGCACACTCTCTCCCATGAAACCTGAACCCTGAACACTGAGCCCCCGAATCGTGCACCCCTAAAACCCTGAACCCTGAACCCTACCTGCAGGCATATCAGATCAGGCGCATGCTGCTTGATCTCCTTCACGATGCCGTGCCTCCTCTGATTCCAGTGTAGCACGCCACGGGGCACCCCGGGGTAGAGCTCACGTGCGAACTTGGCAGCGTGGCAGGACGCCAACACGTTGTAGCTCATCACACTCACTCTCACACGCTCGCCCCCTGCATGCCCCTCTCTATGCGCGCCTCTATGAGCCTCAGCATGAGTGTCGGTATGCGCATCCGTGTTTCTCTCTGCATGCATGCCTGCATGTGCGTCTGCATGCGCGTCTGCATGCGCCCCTGCACTAATACATCCGCCTGTGCGCGCGTTCCCCTCCCCCGCCCCTCCCTCACCCTCCCCGCACCTGATCCATTGCCTCTTCTCCTCCTCTCCCCTCCCACCCCCTCCTCCCCACTTTCCTCTCCCAGCCTCTTTTCTCCATCCCCCATTCTCCCCCTCCCCTCCTCCTCTGTCCCTGCCAGAACCCCAACCGCCTTGGTTCCCTTCTCTTCCTCCCTCTCTTCCTCCCTGTCTTCCTCCCCCTCCTCCCCCCCATCCTCCTCTCCCTCTTTCTCCCCCTCGTCCTCCTCCCCATCTCCCCCCTCCTTCTCTTTCTCTCCATACACCCTGCCCCCTTTGTCCTCCTCCCCTTCCTTCCCCTCTTCCTCTCCCCCACTCTCCTCCCTTTCCTCCCCCTCCTGCTCCTCTCCCGAGCCTAGGAGCTAGGCCCGGAGTTGAAACCGGAGGGTTCGTGGAAAGCTGCTGGAAGGAAGTTGAGAGTGGATTCGCAGACGAAATACCAAGAAACGGGGAGGGGAGGGGAGTGGGGTGAGTAGGGGGAAACGCGTAGCGGAATTGGGGAAGCGCGGTGTGGGCAGGGGGATGCGTGGAGAGGGGTTGGGGAAGCAGGGAGTGGGACTGGGGAGGCGCGGAGTGGGACTGGGGAGGCGCGGAGTGGGACTGGGGAGGCGCGGAGTGGGAGAAACGGCAGCGGTGGCCGAATCGGCATCCGGCGGGGGAGAGGAAACTATAGCACACCGGCGCAGACGTATTAGGCGGACGTGCAGATGGATCAAAGGAAGGTGGGGGAGTAGCCGATCCGTTCCATCCGCCGCCGCCGCCGCCCCCGCTGCCATTCACGCTGTTCGGATATCCCCGCCACGACATGGCGGGCCGCGATACAAGCACGAAAAGAAGCCTGATCGGCCCGCTAATCGGCGTTAGACGCCGGGAACGGGAGGGCAGCAGAGAAAGCGGATTCAAGAGGGAACGTGAGGCTGGAGAGTTGGCGGTGATAGTGACGCTGAGCGCGTGGGCTGTGGTGGTGAAGCTCAGAGCGCGGATGGCAAGAGAACGATTCATCTGAGGCACGAAATGGATGGAAGCAGGTGAAACTATAGTATAATATAGTTAAACAGCTAACGGATGTCGTGCCCCCGTAGCTCAGTTGGTTAGAGCGTTGGTCTTATGAGCCGAAGGTCGCGGGTTCAAGCCCCGCCGGGAGCAGCCTTTGAAGTCTTGTCTCTCTTCATTCTAATTTGGAAACAGAAAAAAACTCCAAGTTTTCTTGAACCTTCAGATCAGAGTCCTCTCACCACTGAAATCTCAGTGCTAACTTCCGTCTATTTCTTAGCCTTGCATGTAAAACCAATGCTGACTTCAGCTGGCTTCCCGCCATCAAGGCCAGGGATATGTTCGCTCTCAACCTACCGTATTTCTTATTTTTTTGTTGGCCTGGCTATTGATCCTCGTTCTTTCCCCTCTTCCGTTGTTTCATGTCACAAGCATCCTTGATCTGCCCACGACCGTTCAACTTTTCAAGCCCTGCTGCAAGCCTCCGGTTTGGCACGCATCGCCTCAATTTGCCAACCTGTCGTTGTAACGCCATGTTCGCGCCCGGAGATTGTTAAACTCCCCCAGCGCATACTGCCGTCCTTCAGGGCAGCCTGCGCGACCAGATCTGGCTCCACTGTCATTTGGTTTTACTGGATCGTTCCTTCCTGGGACCCAGTGGAGCTCGAGTTGCGTCGCTGTTACGACGTGCGCCATCACTCAGACTCAATCACACATCGTGCAGCGAATTCTCGAGCACTTTAGCCTTCAGATTTCTTGCTGCTGACCACAAACTCTCGGCTCTTGTCCCCTGACGAGCATGTTGAGGCTAGTGGTTCATACGCAGAGCCGGTGGGCTGCCTCATGTACCTAATGATATGCACATGTCTAGATCTTGCATATCCTCTCAACATCCTTGCTCGTTTGTTGCGACCGGGAGGTACCGATCAGTGCACTAGTTAGTCGCTAAGCAGTTATTACGCTATCTGGCCAGTAAAAAAGACATGAGGCTTGTACTTGGAGGGCGACAGCCACTTACATGCACGGGACACACTCACGCGTCGTGGGCAGACATTGTCGAGACTCTTAGGTCCTCTTAGGGATACTGGTTCAGTCTGCTGACTCGTGGAGGTCGATTCAGTCGTTCTCAGTAGCTTCGTCTAGCTGTGAAGCGGAGATCCACTATAATGCTTTGTCTGCTTGGGAGCTCCGCTGGTTGAAGTTCCTGGTCACTGACTTAGGTGAGCCGTCTCGCTCTTCCTCACTCCTGTTCGCTGATAACATGGCCATGATCCTCCTGTGCCAGGAGCCTAGACTTGAGGGCAGGGCGAAGCACATCCAACTGTGGCAATATTTGCTGTGTGAGTTGCAGCAGCGCAGTCAAGCATGCTTGGTACACTTAGCTTGCGTGGTACACTTAGCTTCAGGGGCCAACGCAGCTGATATCTTCACCAAGGCCCCCCAGTCTTGTGATCATGGCTCTGTACATAGGTTGGCCTTGTTCCAACATGTCTTCACTTGCTAGGTTCCTAATACGGTATCTGAACGTGTTTTATCTTTATAAGTTTTTACTCATTGACCAGCTTTGTGGCCCTTTGTCTTAGAGGCTGGGCTAGTAGTACCGCCTTGAGTTATGGATTATACACTGTGGTTCTTGTTGATTGGCCTGTGGCCACTTCTGCATGCCATCTCTAGTAATTAATGATTTTTCCAACATTACCACCTCCCTGTCAAATGTTGAACATTGTTATAATAGGCTGTAGTGAGTAGCACTGTAGAGAGTACAACACTTTCTAGGTTTGCTATTTGTATCACTCCCTATCCTAGTTGATGCATTCCGTTGTTCGCTAACTTTGAGATGGTATCATGAGTAGGTGTCGATCCTCTCGCCTAGCCTAGCCTAGCTCGCGCCCTAGCGCCCTTCGCACCCTTGCGCCCTCCGCGCCCTCCGCGCCCTCCGCGCCTTAGCCTCCGCGCCCTCCGCGCCATCTCCGCGCCTTAGCGCCCTCCTCCTCCGCGTGTTAGCGCCCTCAGCGCCCCTAGCTTGCGCCCCTAGCCCGTCGCCCAAGCGCCCGCCCTAGCCCGACGCCCAGGCGCCCGCCCTAGCCCGTCGCCCAGGCGCCCGCCCCAGCCCGTCGCCCAGGCGCCCGCCCCAGCCCGTCGCCCAGGCGCCCGCCCCAGCCCGTCGCCCAGGCGCCCGCCCCAGCCCGTCGCCCAGGCGCCCGCCCAAGCCCGTCGCCCAGGCGCCCGCCCTAGCCCGTCGCCCAGGCGCCCGCCCTAGCCCGTCGCCCAGGCCCGCGCCCTAGCCCGGCGCCCAGGTGCCCGCCCTAGCCCGTCGCCCAGGCCCACGCCCTAGCCCGTCGCCCAGGCCCGCGCCCTAGCCCATCGCCCAGGCGCCCGCCCTAGCCCGTCGCCCAGGCGCCCGCCTTAGCCCGCCGCCCCAGCCCGCGCTCTGGCCCGTCGCCCCAGCCCGGCAGGCAGCGCGCCGCGCGGGTAGCGCGCCCCGTGTCAGAATGTTATAATTGTCTAGCCTGCAGTGGGGTACTCCATAGTGAGTACAGCCCAATTAGGGTTTGCTATATGTATCCAACTGCTTGCTAGTGAAACCCCTCCTTTCTTCATTCTTGTTTCTGCTGCTGGTTCTGACACCCCGCGGGTAGCGCACCCCGCAGGCAGCACACCCTGCAGGCAACGCGCCCCGGAGCGCTTTAGCTCCAGAAAATAGATAAATCGGAAAATTAAACCCTAAAAAAAAAAAAAAAAAAAAAGGTTTAGGGTGGGGGCCTGCAACTGTCGCCCGCGTTCCTGCTTGCCGGACGACCTGCACAGTTGCCTGCATCCCGCAGCCGTCAGTACTGCAGCCCCCACTGTCGCACGTCCGTTCCACTGCCACTGGCTCTACTAGCGGCAGCCGACAGCCGCACTTATGGTCTCTAGCTCCGGCCGTTCCTACCTCCAGCCAGCCCTAGCTCGCCGTTTCTAGCTCCGGCCAGTTGTGCTCCAGCCGTTCTAGCTCCAGCCGTTCTCGCTCCAGCCGTTCTCGCTCCTCGCTCGTAGCTCAGTTTGCTCCGTGCTCCAGCCGTTCCTCGCCTAGTTTCACCTGGCGCTCCTAGCTTAGTTCGCTCCGTGCTCCAGCAGTTACTCGCCTAGTTTCACCTGGCGCTCCTAGTTGTTCTCGTTTTTCACTGCAGCCGTCCCTAGCTCCTGTCGCTCCTAGCCTGCCGCTCCTGCACCCCGCTAGCTTTTATCATGGAGTCCACTAGGGTTCTCCAGCAGCAGGGACAGCAGCAGCGGTCGTTTCAGCAGTGGCTTCCGCGGCAGCAGGGGCGCCCTCATCAGCTGTGGCGCCCTCAGCAGCCGTGGGGGCCTGGTGGTTCAGGTCGCGTTGGCTGCAGCAGCGGCCCAGCCAGCTGGGGGGCTCGTCGCGGTGGCCGCGACGTCGGCCCCTACCAGTACCGGATCCTGACCGGCCCTGGTGCTGGCACTACCTGCTGGCGTCCTGACCACTCTGCACAGCGCTGCTACAGCCGCCTCGACGACCTTTACCGTGAGCGTTTTGGGCCTGCGTCGGCTCCCCCGATCTGGCCCGGTCTGTTTCGTAGTGGTTACCCTGTGTTTGATATGTCTATGGATGCTGTTTATTCTGTCACGTACGGATCTCTTGGCTTACGTGTACCTAGCTTAGGACCTTTGCCTGTTGCTAGTGTCGGTACTTGTGCTTTTAGTGTAGGTGCTTGTGTAGTCACTAGCCCGGCCGTGACGACTGCTGTTGCGTCGCTCTCCTTCACGCTGGACTCCGGCGCGTCTCAGTGCTTCTTCCGCGACCACACCACTGTCACACCTCTTTCGGCTCCAGTCCCAGTTGCCCTAGCTGATCATACTTCAGGACCAGCAGTTGCTCGCAGCTCGACCACCCTCCCGTGCCCAGCTGTCCCCTCTGGTTTCCTCACTGGTCTCTACATCCCTTCGTTCTCTCGGAACTTGGTGGGTGTTGGATACCTTCAGGACCGGGGGATCACAGTCACTTTTCCTGCGCACGGGAGGACTGCGATCTGTACGGACTCTTCCACCGGGGTAGTTCTTGCCACGTTCACCAGAGAGCCCCACTCAGGTCTCTTCGTCCTGCACACTCCGCCCCCGCAGGTAGCTGCGTCTGGTCAGGTTGCTTCGTCCCCCCCGGTAGCAGAGTCCGGTCAGGTTACTGCGTCCCCACCGCTTGCTGTGTCCGGTCAGGTTGCTGTGTCCGATCAGGTTGCTGTGTCAGGTCAGGTTGCTGTGTCCGGTCTAGTTGCTGCGTCTTGCTCGTGTCGGTCTTTCACCCACCGGACCGTCTTGTGGCACCACCGTCTTGGCCACGCGTCGATCCCCCGCCTCCGCACTATGGCTAGTCACCGTCTTGTCTCAGGTCTCCCTCGCGTCTTCCCGTCGCTCCCTCCCTCGCCTGCGCCGCCGTGCACTCCTTGCGTCGCCGGCCGTCTTCGTGCCACTCCGCACTCCTCCTCCCTTCGTCCGGCCACTGCTCCCTTCCAGACACTCCACTTGGATGTCTGGAGCCCTGCACCTACGCAGGGACCTGAGAGGGAGCGCTACTTTCTGGTGGTCGTCCACGACTTCTCCAGGTACACCACGTGAGAAACTGAACGAGAATGAATTGACTAAGGGAAAGTTGGGTACAAAATGCAAACCCTAGAAAACTGTACCCCATATGTGCTACCCCACTATAGCCTACAGTAGCTATGTCATATAAATCTGACACACCCCCATAGGCAAAGTGGGGGAGAACAAGGGGTCACAAGACCAGTCAAGCAAAGCAAAGCAAGCTCAGGGTGGATCAC